TCCTGGGGACAGCAAGAGGAAGGGAGATGGAGAGAAGGGCACGACTGGGGTCATGTGCCTTGCCTGGCTAAACCATGCAGCGATCCCTGCCCCAACATGCATCCAGCCTCAAGCACGTGCAGGGAGTGTTTTCTGTCCTCCTGAGGACACAGTAAAGACGTTGTGTTTGCAAAGCACTGGGAGAGGGAGGGAGAGAAGAGAACCTGGCCTCGCCTCCTCCCTCCCACCTTCTTGTTCTCTCTTCCACACATCACTTTTAGCAATGGGACAGGAGCCCCAAGGAGCAAAACCATGTCTCTGGCCCAAGGCCCAGACCTGGGGCAGGGTGTGGGTGTAATCTGTGTGTGATAGGCCCTTGCCCTGAGTCTGATCCGTGGCATTGTTCAGTTGGGCTCATAGTCACAACCAGCCTTCAAACCAGGGGGAAAAAACAACCCAAACCAGAAAACTCATTCAGACAGAAACAATTTTTTTCCAGCTTCCCCAAGCACACATCCTGGGGCCCAGGTCTCTTCCCCTTGCCTCTGGGGCAGGTTGCCCTGATGCCCTCCTCACCCTTCACTTTAGAGAAAGGCAATAATCAGCTTTGTTGCCTTCAAACCAGGCTGTAGGCCCCCGGCAGCCTGCTAGGGCTGAACTGCAGTCATCCTGGCATACAGGCAGGGAAGGAAAGGGTTAGATCCTGGGCCATGGCATCACTGGCGCTGGTCCCTGGCAGCGAGGGAGGTGATGCTGGGCCTTCTCCTGCTGTTGTGGGCACCCTGGAAAAGCCATCATTCCAAACTGGAGGCTTGCCTTGTCTCCACATTGCATCCCTGCCTGCCCATAGGCAGGAGCAGGATTAGTAGCAGCACTGGGGTGTACTGCTGCCCTCAACCTGGCCCTGGCTCCTGCCAGCACCCAGCTGAGGGAGCCAGAAGAAGGTGCACCCTTGTCACCACCTCCCTACCAGCTAGGGCAGTGCCTTCACAGAGCAGTGGAAAAGGCAGCAAACATCTTAGACATCAAGGAACCATGGTGTTACTGCCTGCTGAGGGTCAGGGAAGATGGAGAGGTCACACTCACTTTCCCATGTCCCCCAGTCTCAGGGGATAACCCCCTAGAAAGCTGTCCTCACCCCGGGCTCCACACAGAGGCCCAAGGGGACTGCTGGAGGGACACAGTGTCCCATCCTGGGTGCCGTCAGCAGGGTGCAGAGCAGCCAGACTCCTACATCCCTCTGAGGGATCCCTGCAAATGTCTCCAGGCTCCAGGAGCAATGGGCTGGGAAAGCCCGGTGAGTCAGTCCCGTTTTGTAACACGGGGGGCAGAGCGCGTGTCGGAGCAGGGATGGCCGTGAGCTGAAGTGCGGTGCCCGCCTTGGCCTTTTGCAATCAGCCGGGGAAAGGCGAAGTCGAAGTTTCCATCCCTTAATGAGAGTGTGCCACAGGGACCAGCTCCCTCCTGTTTACGTGGCTCACAGGGATGGATTGAGCAGTGGCAGCCCGGGATGTGGGGAGGAGGGCAGCCTCATCATCCCTCCTCTGGGCTGTGGCGGCTGGTGCTGTCCAAGCACAATCTGTCTTCTGTGGTGAAGTCTCAGCTTTGGCCCCGTGGTCTCACAAATATGTTTCCTGCACCCGTGAGCCAGCCCCACTGCTCTACACACCTCCACTCCCTCCTGTAAGCACCCACAAAGCCCCTTCCCGCCTCCCCATTGCCCTCCAGCCCTCCTGGCAATGCTCCTTCAGGCCCCACAAGAGCAAACGTCCACAAAGCCATGGCCCCCGTGTGCAACCCTTGCCCGTCGAGGAACAGAAGGTGACACAGAGAGGATGTCATCTCTGCCAGCTTCACGTCCCGCATCACCAGCCTGACCTAGAAACACCACATCATCTCACGCGCCAGAGCCCGGGGATGCTGCAGGCTCATCCCTCTGTTTTTTCCAGAGCAGCTGAGTGACAGTCGCCCCTCCCCTGTCTCTCCGAAGAGTGTAATGAGAATTTCCTCCGAGGAGCAGCTTGCCGCGATGAAATAATCGCCCGAGCAGCAGGATCTTCGCCGGGGATTAGAGAGGCTGCTACTTGCTGAACCAGGGAAACAGCCGGTGAAGGGGAAAAACTCCTACCGCCTCCTCTGGCACCTACTTTGCCAAAGTGATCGCTGCCGCAGACGGAGTGAGGTCGCAGGCAGAGCTCAGCCCTGGAAACTTCTGTCCCTGATGCTCAGGCACTTTAGAAAAGTCTCCTTCCACCCTCCTTCTTCTCCTCTCGTTGCTCCCTGCGGAGCCGCTCCCCAGCCCAGCCGCCGAGACGGGTGGAGAAGAGGTAGCGCAGCAGCTGCCTTTTACAGGCAACAGTTTTTTTTTTGTTGTTCTTTTCGGACTGCTGAGGCGTAAAACGCGGGACTGAGCCTGTGCCTCTCTGCCTTACGCGCTGGAGCACGCAGCAACTGGGTTATCACGCCGCACAGAGGGACAGCAGCAAGGGCTATACAAGGATTTCCGAAGCTGAGTGGTTTAAGGGAGTTTTGCTTCCACTTTGGGCTCGTTCCTCCCTCCCTGCCCCCCCCCCGGTCGTTAGTGGGGTCCTGCTGTGACCATCCCTTGAGACTTCCTAATTTTCTTCCCAAATATCCCACATCTCTTTTTATTTTCTCAACTGCTCATGAAACGTGGGAACCCCAAGCCCAAAGGAACATCCCTAGTTTGAAAAGGTACGCACTAAAGCCAAGTTGCAGCAGGAGTGCTTTATTTTAGAGCTAGGCTTGGGTGGCATTTTTCTTTCCTCTTTCGGAGGCAGAGACTCACTGCCCGCCAACGCCAGACTCGACCGTGGCAGAGGGCGCTCCTGCCTCCAGCCGTGTTTCTAACCTGCCCCAAACCCACGGCCTCTCTCGAGTGCCGTCTCCGGGAATAAAGAGCAGCTGCCACCGAGCGAGAGGCGCAGCCAGCAGAAATCCTGGATTCCTCTGCTCTGTCCTTCCCCGTGGTGCGTGGAGAGGCTCTCGCCCCACTCCCGCCCAGCTCCGCCACCAGGTCGGAACGGGACATCCAGCTCCCGTTCCAGGTCAGAACGGGACATCCAAACGTGAGAAATTGCTGTCCCCAAAAGGCCCCTCCTGCCTAAACACCGGTTCAACGGCAGCGCCCGAAAGCCGCGATCGGGGCACCGTTGTGCGGAAAGCGTCTCTGACGCAAAGTGAGTTTCCCGTGTCAGGGCTTTGCTCTCGGGCTCCCGCTCCTGCCTCCTCCCTGAGGCCCCGATACCCCCCACCGGCACCTCACGGCTTCTCCCACGAGGGGCAGGAAGCTGAGGAGAAAAATGCTCCACGGTGCCACCAGGCAAAGACCAGCCTGTTTTCAGTGCTACTATGCTTTGTGGAAGGGATATTTTGTCCTGGAAACGCAGCCCTGTTCCCCCGGTACCCAGCCGCTCGGGGACATGAGGGGCTGCAATGAGGGAGACCGGCGCCATGATGCCTCGTGCCGCGACGCCTGGTGCCAGGCGGTATGGGGCTGCCATGGATTCTCCGCAGCTCTCCTGAAACTGGGGGAGGCAACTCGGGGGTAGCCCGGCTCCCGGCAACGAGGAGAAACTCGCACTCCGCCCGCGGCAGTCCCGCCGGGGGTCGCGCCCCTGTGGGGTACCCCGATACCCGGGCCAGGTGGTTTCTGCTCCGCTCCCGCCCGCTCCCGCTCCGGGTTTTCAAAGCCACTATCGCTTTAGACAGATAGGAGCTCCAGCCAGTAAGAAGCCGCAAAGCGTCAGCACAGCGTTCGCTCTGTGCTGTTGGCCAATCCAGATCGCTCGATCCCTATATCCCGCCCTCCGAGAGCAGGCTCTGCCGACTATTGCCCTGTGCCGGCGGCCATCTTGAGTGTGGCAGAGGTGCTGCTCCGTCTAAAGGTGCTTTTTTTCACCTTTTCGCCCTTTCCTCTGTACTTTCCGCATCGGGGGGTGCTTACGCGCGGCGCCGCCTCGCCCGCGGGGCCGTTACGGGCAGCGAAGCGGTTCCCGAGGTGGGGAAAAACCGCGTGCTTACCCCACGAGGGGCTCTCGGCGCCATCTTGAGTGTGGCAGAGCCTTCTCGCTCGCGGGGTCGGTGCCCCGTTACCCCACTGTTTGGGAGGGGTGTGGGGTGGCCCCGGTGCCCGCGGGGGTAAGGGGGGATGAATGTGTGTTAGTGTAAGAAGAGCTTGCGGAGGGGGCAGTAAGGGGAAACTCTGGGTGCAAAAGGTGTGTGGTGGCGGTGGTGGAAAGGGGCGGTGGGGTGGCCCGAGTCCGTTTTTATTAACTGTAAAATAAAATAAACGTACGGGTGGGAATCCCGCGTTTCCGACCGGCGGCGCCCGGCAGCCCCGGCGAGCTCGGCTAGCCGCCTCCTCCCACCGTTCTCCCGCTGGCGGCTGTTGTGGTGAAACTTTATGCGGCCCTGACAACACGGCGCGGGCTGGGGACACACACACATACACACAACCCCCTCCGCGGCTACCCCTCGACGGTTCTCCGGTATCACCCGCCCGCTCCGGCACGGCGGGGTGCAAGGAGGCGGTGGGGAGCGGCACCGGTTCTCCCGCATTGTTATTATTAACTCCTATTATTTTTCTCCCCTCCGCGGGCGGGCGGCCGCGCCTCCCGCCCCTCCGCAGGCATGCAGGCCGGCTGCGGCGGGGACGGGGACAGGGACAGGGACACACACACACACACACGGAGGGGGGGGGGGGGTGAATGGATAAATTCCCCCCCTGCCCGCCCGCCGCCTCGGACGGCGGGCGTGGCGGAGGCGGTTGGGGGCGTGGCAGCGCGGAGGGGCGGGGATGGAGGGGGCTCGGCTCTCCCTCCCACTGACCCGCTCTTCAGCACAACGCTGAGACCGAACCCGAACTCATCGCCGCGGTGTCGTCGGGCGCCGGCTACTGCCTCTTTAAGCGGCCTTGCCCATTGTTTGAGCCGCGGCCAATGGGAGCGGGCGGCCGCGGCGCGCGCGGCCAATGGGCGCGGCGCGGGGCAGCGCGCGCGCCGCCCCCCCGTCTATAAGAGGGCCCGTGGAGCCGCGTGAGTCCCCACTGACTCGCGCAAAGCCATCTTGGCATTGTTCTGCCCGCGCCGCCGCCCCCGCCGCCACAGCCCCGCCACAGCCCCGCGCGCCCCCGCCATGTCCGACGCGGCCGTGGACACCAGCGCCGAGATCTCCGCCAAGGTGAGCCGCCCGCCCCTCGCCGTGTTACCGGCTGCGAGGGCTTTTCTTCCCCAAACGTTTCTGGTTTTGTTTTTTTTTTTCGCGTATTTAAATATTTTCCTTTTTTTAAAAATTGTCTTTTACGCCTCGTTTTCCCCCCAGCTCTTCTTCCTCCTTTCTTTCGTCCCCCGCCCCCGGTGGAAGTTCGTGGCGCGCTCCGCGCGGGGCCGCCGCGCGGAGCCGCTTGCGCCGTTTCTTTGTCTAGAGCGTGCGGGAAACGTGCTCGCTGCCCTCGCCGGTGTCGCCAGACGCGCCCGGCTCCGCGGCCCGCTCCCTCCCACCTTCCCGAGGGCGGCCGCGGTGCTGTCCCGCCGCGATAGAGCTCGGGGAGTGCGTGTGTGTGCGGGTGGGTGGGGGGGCACGGCTGTGGCTCGGCACCCGTGTGCGGCGGGGGATGGCGGCGGCGCTCGTCTCATTCAATCCACTGCGGGAGCTTGACAGCCCCGTCAAACTTGGGTCCCTCTCGGTCGCGGTCCCTGCGCGGGTGTGGGGGGAGTGCGCCGGAGGGACTGGAAGGGGGAGGGGGCAGTGACTGCTGTGGAGTTGTTGCCGAAAATGGGGGTGGGGGGCGGTTGCTATTTTAGAGTTTCACCCGATTGATGCGGGGAGGTTAATTGCTGGGTCGCTGTTGCCCCTGGAGGGACGGGGAGCAGTCGCTATTTCGGAATTGCCCCCCCGGAAAAGGGGGGGAAGGCAGTAGCTGTGTCGGAGCTGCCCCGGTTGGTGTGTGTATGTTTGCTATTTCGGAGTCCCCCCCCAGAGGCGGGGAGAAAGCAGGGGGCTGCACCAGTGCTGTCGGGGGTGGGGGGGGTGGGAATGGGGGTGGGAGAGGACTAGGGGGTGGTGGGCAGTTGCTATTTTCGGAGCTGCCCCGGCGGGCGCAGCCCCCACGGCGCTGGGGGGCTCCGGCCCCGAGCTGAACTCCTCGCAGAGGGTAACTTTGCGAGTCAGTGCTAGGGGTGATGGTGAGCGGTTACGGAGCGCTGGTGCCAGTCGGGAGAGGCTCTCTCCGGAGTCCCCGCTGCGGTTCCCGGCTCTCGCCTTTGTCTGCGAGCCGCCGCGGAGCGTCCCCCGGGGGCGCCGGTCTCCCAGGCGGGCTGCGTTCCCTTCGGGCCCCAGGCGGTGATGCGCTCTGTCGAGCCCCGGGGCCGCGGCCGGGAAAGTTGCGGGGGGGGGCTGACTGTGCGTGTGCGTGGGAAGACGGCGGGAGATAGGGTGGCTGTGCCCGGGGCCCCCCTGGCCCTGCGCCCCGTCCGGCACCGGGCCGTGCCGCTACCGGAGGAGCGGGGTTGGCGGAAAAAAACCCTCACGGTAGAGGATTTGCGAAAAACGCCAACAAAACACCGTTTCTTATAAATTTCGATTTCGCTTCTGTTTCCCGCTCCCGCAGCCGTACACTCTCCCCGCTCCCCGCCTCCGCTCCGGGACCGCGGGTCGGTCCTCGCTGCCTTCGGCTTCCCCGGAGCCGGGAAGCAGTGAGGCGGGTCGATCCCCATACCTCCCCAGGGAAACTGGGCCAAGTTTGCCGTTAACCTTCCCCTGCCCTTTACAGCGTGGGGGAAGGGGGCTTCGTCCCTGGCTCACCCTCACAGGAGGGGTACGAGTATCCACGCTGTTAGGCGGACGGAGGCGCGCGCAGCGGCAAGGTGACCCCCTTTCTCCCTACCAATACCGATGTCGGTGGGGAAGCGCGGAGGCACCGGGGCCGTTCGCCTTCGTCCCTCCTTGCCGTCCGGAGCCCTCTCGGGAGGCGGGGAGGGGGGTCCCGCCCCGCTCGGGCGGTGGCTCCGCTCCGAGCACCGCCCCCGTCCGCCGCCGGGCGCCCACCACGTGCGGCCCTGCCCGCGCCGCCCCCTGGGAGCGGGAGTCCGACGCCCCCGCCGGGACTACACTTCCCGTCATTCCGCGGGCGCCGGGCCGGCGCCCTGGCGGGCGGCCAATGAGAGGAGCACGCAGAGTGGCGCGCGGTTTAAACGGCGGCCGGGCGCGTGGGAGCGCGAGGGTGCCCCCTGCCGGCGGGAGGCGCGAGCGGCAGCGGGTGCTCCGCCGTCCCGGGGGGACGTGTGTGTGCCGGGGGGATGGCAGCGGCACACCAGGGCCGTCCTGCTGGGATCGCGGCTGCACGGGGGGCTGCTGGCCCTCGCGCCCCGGGAGCAGAGCAGGGGCAGGATGCCCAGGCAGTCGGTGCATGACTGAGCGAGACTTGTGGACAAACGGCTTCACCACACCTATAATTAGAGGCTCTGTCAAAGCTCTGGAGCTGCAGCAGTGCAGCCTTCCGTTTGGAGGCTGCTACGCACATCTGCGTGTTTGTGTTGGACTGGACCAGGGGAGAGAGAGAAGCTGTGGCCCTCTCGGCAGCCCTGTTGCTAGCACAAACTTCATGACCTGGCACCCTCATAGTCGTTAAACTGAGCGTCTTCAGTGGTGTGGGAAAGGTCAGTGTTGGAGACTTGTTCAGCTGGTATCCCCCAGAATGAGCTGTTCCTTTGCTGGGAGAATTGCTTATGTTTTGTGAACAGAACCCCCGGGCATAGTGAGATATGGAAACTGACTGCTTGCTTTGTGCTGTGTTTAAGTTGGGAAATGCTTTGTTGCTCTTATGCCTGTGTGCCTCATGTGAGGCCGTGGCTGCAGAATGCAGCAGTGCAACAGTACATGAGAAATTTCAGGGTTGTCATCAGTCTTCAGGAAATAGAGGAGCCACCGATGGTGTAAGACTAGGGTGGAATTGTGAAGGAAGTGGCCTGGGTTTTGAATGTGAAGAGGGAGCTTGGGTGTTCTGTTCCACTCCAGATTTCTGGGGTGCTGGTGTGATTAGGCAAGGCTTGATCAACAGGTGGAGTCACCCCAGAGCTTAGGGTGTCCTCAGTGTGCTGGCAGGCTGGGCACCACTGGCAACATTCTGTGTGCCCCTCTGGGTCCAAGTGGCTTAAATAACTCCTGCCTGTCCCACCTAAGCAGCTTGTTGGGTAGTAGAAACCCTCCCAAAACAGTCTGAGAGTCAAACCAGCAGGGCCAGGGCCATGCTGTTACCCACAGTGTTTCCACAAGGAAGTGATAGTGGCTTAGTAGGAGTGAAAGTGCCTGCAACACTGCAAGGCAGCTGGGAAGGGCGGGCGGGAGGGGGGTCAAAGCTGCTTGTGCTGCAGCAGGGCAGCGAGGTGTGTTAAACAGCACAGTTGCTGCAGAAGCCGGCTGTATGGCTAGCCTTGGCTGAGGGAATGCTCCTTGTGCTGAAGGATCTTGCTCCAGCTGATAGAGGAACAGAAGGGGAGGAGGATGTGAGCAGAGATGCCAGTGTTAAATCCAAGTGTTCTTTATGCGGGAACATAAAGTTGGATCCTCTCAGCCTGTTTGCTGAGTGACTTGGCATGACATTTTGACAGTGATCAATAGCAAAAACACACAAGCTCTCCTCTCGCTTTGCTCATGGTGATTTGAACCAAACCAGCCAGGCACGGCTCGTGGTTCAGTGTAAAAATAGACTTTTCCCCCCACCCCATCTTGTTACACTTACAGCTGCGAGCTGGATCCTGGAGTCTCCTTTCTGCTGCTGCAAGGAAGACCAGGCATGTAATATTTGCTGTCTGACTTTCCCCAGGCAAGGCAGAGACCGCAGTCTCAGATAATGAGTTCCTGGGATTTGTTCCTGCTGTGAAGGTACTGAGCAGCCATGGACATCCGCAGCCCTGGGGCAGCTGAGCCCCCCTGTGTTGGAGGAGGCTGCTGGCTCTCCATGGCATGGCAGGAGCTTGCGTGGACTGTGTTAAGATGGGCAGTCAGCCAGCTCTGCTGCTGTTGAGCATATGCAGGTGGCCAGCGCTGTGTGTTTGGGAGCTCAGAGGTGAAACAGAGCTGTCTCTTTTAGCTGCTTTGTGGCAAGGCTGACTTGAATTGAGATTCATCCCCATGCTCTCCTGTTCCCAGGGAAGAGTCAGAATGCAGTGACCAAATTGCAGAACAAATGGGTGTGAAGAGAAACCCAGCTCCTGCTCTCTTAGACTGTTTTTTGCACCTGGTCTGCAGCTTTTCTGACCCAGGCAGATAGAATCAGAGTGACTTGTGTGTTTTTTCTGCTTCCAGGATCTAAAAGAGAAGAAGGAAGTTGTTGAAGAAACAGAAAATGGCAGAGATGCACCGGCCAACGGCAATGCTGTGAGTATGGCTACAGTCTGCAGGGAGAGGCAGCCCTTGTACCAGTACTTCTTTTTATTTTCCTCTCCTCACTTTTTTTTCTGTGAGGTTGTCCACAGCCTTGCTGAAAGGGGACCTTTCCAAATGGCAGCACTGTGCAGAGCCCTTGAGCATTTGGTGCTTCAGGGTCAACAGACACTCCTGAGCCTCCTGCGGGCAGTTCCTGTGTGCAGAAAGGAAGGACTGGGCTTGGATCCCCCTCCCCAACAGCTGGGTGAGGCCATGTCCAGTGCCACCTCCTTCCTAGGTGCTGGCAGAGGAGAGAAACAAAAGCCAACCCAAACCTGAGATTTACAGTGTTACAATTAGTTGAGTGGGGAAACACATTGTGTACAAGTGACCGGTTGGTTTCCTATTTTTAACATGCTGGGGAAATTCACTCCGCTACATTTTAGCGTGTCACAAGAGCCTTTGCTTGGCATGGAAGCTGCAGCCCCAGGTTACTCTACACTAGATTCTTCATGCCTGTGCTGTCTGCCTCATGTGGAGGCAGGCAGGCAGCAACCGGGATGTGTGCCTGGGGCTCTGATGGGCTGGTGCTTTGCTTTAGGCAGGAAAGGTGGGGATGCACACTTGTGCTGAGCATCTCTTCCCCCTTCTCCCTTCCCCAGTGCATTTTTTAAGTGATGTTTTGTCTTGCCAAGGAGAACGAGGAAAACGGAGAGCAGGAGGCTGACAACGAAGTAGATGAAGAGGAAGAAGAAGGTGGTGAGGAAGAGGACGAGGAGGAAGAGGGTGATGGTAACTTTTCTTTGTTCCCAGTGCCCCCATCCCACGCCTGTGTCCTGCCCTGCACAGCTGACTCCCGGGAAGCAGAGGAGAGCCAAAAGCAGCATCTCCCCCTCGCGGCTGCAGCCGGGCGCACTCCTTCCTTGCTTGCCCGAACCACCAGTGCTGGGAGTGAAGTCAGTCTTGAATCCCTTCCAGCAGGTTGAGGGCAGATTCCTTCCTTCCCCCCTCCTCCAGCCAGACGGCACCGTACTGTGGTGCTGAATAAGCGCATTAGCCCTTCCGTGCGAGTAGCAAAACCTGCCCTTAACTCCTGTGATCACAAGGCTGCTGCACAAGCAAGTGCTGGCCAGTGGGATGGGGACAGCTGTGGTGTTTGTGTTGTGGTCCAGGCACAGAGGACAGGTATTGCTGTCCATGTTCACGGGGCAGCTGTTGTGGAGTAACATGCTGAGGGGCTGATGTGATCTGCTCTCCCAGCCATTTCTTGGGCTGGATGCCATGTGAAAGCTGGTGAAGGAACCTGGGGCTCTTCCCTCTCCCTTCAACAGGAGCTGACAGGCTTGCTTTGAACCTTCCCTGTCTGTGGTGTCCTGCATCTCCCTGCCCTCCCCTGCTTTGCTTCCTGACCTGACCCAGCCTGGAAGTGGGTTTTGGCAGCAGCAACCAGAGATCCAGCAGTGATTTGCTGAATTGCTTCTCGCTCTCCCTGCTATTATTTTTTTTTCCCCAAGATCTGCTTGGATGAATAATGTTTATTTTTATCACTCGTTAATGCTGAGAGAAAACCATTCCTATGCCAGAATGAACCTGGGGCCCTTGATTAGCTATTAGTGGGTTAATCCCCTGTAAATTTTCAGTCTATGTGCTGACCGACTAACCTTTTGATTAGTTTTGGAAGACGGGGACAGGGCTGGAAATGTAATGACTGTTAGGCCAGCACCTATTCAGACAGTGTAAGCAGGGAAAGCTGCTGCCGCTGGGGTAGCACTCTGCTCTCAGCAGCCTTCTGTCTGCTGATTCACTAGGAAAAAAAATGGGAATTGCGGTTGGTCCTCTTCATACTTGGGATTTTAACCCTTGGAGACATAGCACAGTGTTGCCATGTGCTGTCCTGAACCCATTGACCTCCATTCCTGCCCTGGGGGGGGGGGGTGGGGGGGGGTGGTGGAATACTTGCCTCTCCTTACCTCCCCTTGGACAGGAGGGGGGGATGTGTGTGCCACAGGCATGTGTGTGTGGGGTGGAAGTGTTGCTTGGATACTGCTGTGACAAGCCTGGGGAGCTTCAGTCCCACGGTGCCAGGCCTGCTGTTCCCAGCACAGGCACAATTTGGCACACAGTGCTTGGAGGTGTTAACACCTTGCTGGGATCCTGCATGGGCTCTTGTCCGTCCATGCCTGCTGCCCTTAGGTGATCCCTGCCCGAGAGCTGCACCTGAGCAGCTGAATGCTGCAGGAAAGAGATTCCAAGACAGTGAGTGCAGCTTGTATCAGGTTGTTGCGTTTTTGTTCTTTTTTTTTTTTTTGTCCAACACTTGCAGCCAAACTCCATTCTGGAATTTGACAGCAGAGGGGAGCTTGAGGGTGTGTTTTTTCTCACCCTTGTCCCCATCCCATCTCATTATTTGCTTTGCTTAAAGCAGCTCAAAGAACTAAAAATGCTCCCAATCAGCTTGGCACTGTCACCTGACCTGCCCACCGGCATAGTGCATGTGATGGCTGCCAGGGTGTTGATCCATTGCTGGTAGCTAATCTTGGTCCTTCCCCCTGCATGGGCCATGCTGCCGCTGGGCACACGACGGGGAGAGGAGAAGGGAAGGGAGGATGGGCTGACCTTAATCCCCCCAGCTGTCTATATGTGTGGCTCGTGGCCGTGGTTTAAAGCCAGCTTACTGGCCTTGACGCTCTAAGTTTTAGTAGGGTCTCCTGTTACACAAGAGACTCATCTTGGCAGCCAAGAGGTTGTTGTTCCTCTGCAGCCTTTGGTCTTGCCCCCAACCCCCCAAAACTGCACAAAGGTGATAGACTAGGTTGTTCTGATCCACTGGCCTATTTGAGCTTGAAGTGGGTCAAAGCCCAGAGCTCTGCTCATTCTCTTCTCTGGCTGCAAGGTAAGTCGGTAACATTTGTCTGCTGTTCTGATAATTAGAAAGTGTTCTGACTCAGAACTAATGCGTTCTGGCTCTCTTAACTCATTAAAGATGGACTAATGGCTGCGAAGGGAAGCAGAAGTAATCTGGAGCAATTGGGAGGAGCAGCCACTGGAAAGCATTTTATATTTTTTTAGTGTGCATGTGTGATCTTGGTGCTTGTGGCAGGTGCTGGTTTTGCTGTCCCATTGCTTGCACTACAAGCACAGTGTGAGCCAAACTTGACACTGTCAATCCTTATTTCCCCTTGGGTGGGTCAAGTCAGTGGGGGATGCCCTGAAATCCCGTGTCTTCAGGCTCTGCTGTCTGTGCCAGCTGGGAAGATGGAATGCTGGGCATCACTGTGGGGCTGAGCCAGAATTAAACTCACTGGGAAGGTGCGTGGTCCTATAACCTTCCAAGAGGAAGGTCGCAAGGGGGTCTTTCAAGAGGGCCTCATTCCTCCCTTTCTCCATGCAGGTGAGGAAGAGGATGGTGATGAAGATGATGAAGCTGAGGGAGCCACAGGCAAAAGGGCAGCTGAGGATGATGAGGTAGGAAAAGCACCTGGCTGCCTGGAGTCACCTGTGTCTTCAGAGGGTTGGAGGGGAGCTTCAGTGGTGCCAGAGGCCAGGCTGGGCTATGGGGCTGTAACACCCTGCCTGTGTGCTCCCGTGCCTCTCCAGGGATGTGGCCCAGTTCTGTTTATACGCTGGCCTGCTTAGTGGGGGTGTCAGCTCTGGCTGTGCCGAGCTGCTGGCTCTGGCTGTGGAGTCCCACGGTGCTCAGGGGCTCCTGAGCTGGCTGAGAAAGAGGATTTTGCACAAGGAAAGTACTCTTGTATTTCCCTCTCCCTGTGGTGGGGGAGGGACCTGAAACCAGGCTGCCTACCCTGCTGTGGCTAGCACCAGAGGGCTCCCAGCCCTGCTCCACTTCCCCTCTCCTGATGGCTTTGCTTTCCCTCCAGGATGACGACGTCGATCCCAAGAAGCAGAAAACCGATGAAGATGACTAGGCAGCAAATTTATTATTATTATTTTTTTTTTAAATAAGGAGGAAAACAAACCAACAAAAAAAGGCCAGCGCATCCTCTTCACCCTTGGGACCCCCTTCCCTCCTGTTACAGCCCTTTTTCCCCTCCCCGACACACACACAGCCCTTCCTCCCCCCTCTGCCGTGGTCATCCTCACCAAGTAGAGTGAACCCCAGCCCCCCGGCGCGGCGCTGCCACTCAATGACCATACGAAACGATTCGCCTGTTAGCGGGGAGAGAACCCCCCCTTTCCCACAGACCCTCCCCCCAAGCACCAAAACTTCAAGGCCCTGCTTTCTTTCTTAAAAGTACTTTAAAGGAGAATTTGTTTGTATTTTTTATTTACATTTTATATTTTTGTACATATTGTTAGGAGGTCCGCCATTTTTAAGTGATCTCGGATTGACCAAAAGGGGGGCTTTGAAGTGTATATCTCTTGTTACCTATCTCTGACTTTACTTGTGGTGTGACCAGGCCCAAACCATTATCTCAAAGGAGAATAAAACAAAACCTTGTAAAAAAAAAAAAATTAAAAAAGAGACAAAAATGCAAAAAAAAAAAATTTACAATCTTATCTGAGCATTCCAGTAACTTTTTTTGTGTATTGTACTTTAGCTGTACCATAGATTGTGGTTTGTATGAGGTGGCAAGGCCAAAGATAAAAAGGTTTTTGTTTTGGGGTTTTTTTGTTTTGTTTTTTTTTTGTTTGTTTTTTTAGTTTTTTTTCTCTCTTTTTTTTTGTTTTGGGGTTTTTTTTTCCTGTCTATGAAGTTGCTGTTTTTTGTTTGGTTTTCTTTTTTTTGGCCTGTTTGATGTATGTGTGAAACAATGTTGTCCAACAATAAACCGGAATTTTATTTTGCTGAGTTGTCCTAACAAGGCTGCCTCCCAACTGCTGCTTTTTGTTTTAGTTTTCATTTGGTTTTGGTTTTCATTTCTTTCTTGCCTTCCTTTCTTTGCTTTGGACTCGGGCTGAGAAGTTAGGTTGAGCAAGAGTTGAGAGGTGCAGAGTGCTCATAGGGTGGGTCTGGGGGCACTGGGCCCAACTGGTGTCTTCAGCATAGGGCTGTGCTATCCCTGGGGCAGCGTGTTCTCATAGCTGTACTCTGGGCTGCTGCAGCTGTGCCCCAGCATGACCTCTGTATGGTTCTGAAGGGTCTGGCTGCTCTTGGGGAGTGGTAGGGACAGGTCAGGCCAGGAAAAAAAACACTGCAGATGCAGGCTCTATAAAAGTGAGCTGGGCTGTGTGGGTATGGGAATCTCAGTAATCCTCCTGTTCATCTACAACTGGACTTGGAGACTCTGCTGGGCTGGAGCAGTGGGCGCAAGAAACTCAACCCCAAAATCTTTCAGTGTCTGGTGTGGGTGAATTATGCTGTAGTTGGATAGTGGGTGATACTGGGAAGACCCTGTGAGAGTGGTGAAGTGTTGGATCAGACTGCCTTATCCCTGGCAGTGTTCAAGGCCAGATTGATGGGGCTTTGAGCCACGGGTTTAGTGGAAGGTGTCCCTGCCCATTGCAGGGGGTTGGATCTGTATGATCTTTAAGGTCCCTTCTAACCCATTCTGTGAAATGCCTCGCCTTCTGGGCTGTGTGAGGCAGCACAGGCTTATTTACAGCGTTGTTGGCAGCAGGGTAGGATGCATGCTGGAGAAGGCAGCATTCAGCAGGGATTGAATTCGGCCAGAGATGGCCCTTGAGGGCTGCTCCAGCCTGCACTGGCTGCCCAGCTGTATCTGGGGTACCAAGTTAGCAGAGGTTTGGTGGTGGGATCCTGGGATGCAGGCTGGGATTTGTCTGCTTTAACTAAACCACAAGTGCTGTAATTTCACCTAGACCTCTACTGCTTAGCTCCTAATATTCCCTCAACTCATCGTTCCTCTCTAGAGCACTGGAGCTCTGAAAAGCTCAGCTGGCTCTGCCAGGTGTGTGGAGGCTGTTTGCATGGAACCTGCCTTGTATCTGTGCCTCCCAAACCCTCACCTGGGTGACTGTGCTGACTGGGGTTTGTGCCGAAGCCTTGCCGGATGCTCTCACTTCCTTCTCTCACGGTGCAGTTCCTGGCAGTTAACATTAAGATGCTGGGGGGTTATTTTTATTTTACTTAAAGAAGAAACCCTTCAAAAAAACCCAAGAGGAATTGTGTATTCAGTGCGCTGGTCACAGCTCTTCCTGATCCCCGGCAGCAGCCAGGTCACTTACTCTGTTTGCACCGGTGGCAAAGAAGCTCAAAAACTCTCCTTGTCCCTAATTATCCAGCTAATCGTGGTGCTAGCTGATAGCTTATCAGATTTACTGCCTCAATTCATGAGCAGTGTCCAGCCCTGCCTGTCACGTGCCTGGGTGATGGGATGCTCTTAGCACTCTGGAGGCCAGTGCTAGTTTTAATTAGCAGGTGCTCTGATGTCCCTGATGGGATGTGACAACACAGGAGCAGCAAACAGCGCTGCTTTGTTGTGCAGCACCAGGAGCTGTGCTGTCTCGTCGTGGCTGCCTGGTGCATGGCTTGTGCACCATGAGAGGCTCCGGTGATGTGCGATTTGAGGTGATCGCAGATTTGTGAGGCAAATTATTGAAATCAGTTTCTGCAGCTGAGGAGCTGGTGAGAACCAGCTCTGTGTCACCGACACATGGGGACTCTGCGCACGCAGCTGGTGGGGAGGCCCCTGTGCAGGGTGGTGTTTGGGGGACCAGTGACCTTACTGGTCCCCACTGCAAAGCAGGACCTGACCTACAGCCTGCAGCCTCCCAAGACCTGGGGGTCTTGGGTAGTAGGGTCCTCTTGGGTCTGACACGTGGGTAAAACCAGTGGCTGCTTGCAGCCAGACAGACTGGCAGTGGGTAGAGCATGGCGTAGTGGGGGGTGAGGCAAGCGCAGGCTGGGGAGCCTGCCAGCTCCACAGCTCCTGGTCCTTGCCCGGCTGCCATGAGCCCTATGGCCACTGCTGATGGAGAAAGCAAAGCTGGCTCCCTCGCCTCCAGCTGTGCAGGGCAGCCCTGGTGTTTCCGTACCCTGTCTTTATCCCATCGTGTCTGGGTGTCGGGGAGGTCTGGCAGCCCTCTGGATGTGCTTCCGTGTCTTCAGTGCAGAGGGCAGAAGCTCCCTGGCTGCAGAGCAGAGAAGGGCGACAGGCTGGTCCCAGCACTGGGGACTGAGAGTGGGTACAGCTCAGTGCATGGGCCACTGCAGGAATCCCTCAGCCCCACTGCTTGGTCATCAAATCCCAGCCAATCCCCAAGCTCCAGCACAGCCTAGCAGCCAGTCCCATGCTGCCACCTGTTTATCCCTTCGCCCCCACACTTCCCTCCCCCCCTCATGCTGTGTCCACCAACCACAGTCAAGCAGCACCAAGGCCTGACCAATCCCAGCCTGCCACCTGGCTTTTCCCCTCAGCCAACCATGTGCCTCCACATGTCTTTGCTGCTGCCTCACCCTTCACAGCAGCAGCTCACCAATCACAGTGTGAGGGAGACTGCACTGAGCCAATCCGAAGCTGCCGCCTGAAAATTGTGCCAGCCAATCAGGGACAGCCACACCTCTCCAAGGGGTATAAAGGTCCATCAGTGGTGGGACTCTGCATGTGTTTGAGGCTGTTATTCGGTGGAGGGGTGATGTGTCTTTGAAAGCTTCCTGCCTGTGAGGTCCTAGAGGGGCTTGAAGGTGGCTCTGCATCTCGTTTGGTGCCTGATGCCACATGGGGCCTTCTGGGGGATTCCAAAATGCTGCAGGGATTGCTTGCCTGGATGATGTCTTGGGCTGGAACTGGGAGCAGGTACCCCTCCACAGGGGAAGGCTTGCAGGAGTTGTTCCTGCTGAAGACATCCCTGAGGATCTTAGAAATGGTCTTCCTGGTGAGCCAGCCTTATGCGGGAGGCAGCCTGCTGGGACCTGGGGGCTCCCACCTACCTCTGGTGTGCAGAAGATGATCTCCACCACTGCTTGGTGACCAGAGTCAGGCTCTGCAGGGTGCTGAAGCCATGGGACTGGAAGTGAAGAGCATGCAGCCATTGTGTGCCTTTAGGCATGGTGTTGTGATGCTTGGTCCTAACCTAGAACTTCTCAGGTTCCATGTTCAGCTGCAACCTGTGGAGCAGAAAAACATGTTGTGCTGTCCTTTGCCTGCAGATGTGACCTGTGTGATGTGGGTGGTTGGAATCCTCATTGGGCTGCTGGTCACGCTGGTCCTGGAGATCATGGATAAGAATGACTGAAGCTGTTCTGAGTGTGCTAGCTGGCTGCTGAGCACTGAAGACAGACCAAGTAGCTCCCAAACGTAGCTGTCAGGAGAGCTGCAGGGTGGCTCATACAAACCTGGAAGGACTTAGGCTATGTGATGTGTAGAGGTGACTACTTTGACCAAGGGCAGCCCTTCCCAAGGACTCTGCTTTGGCTGGCCCTTTAATGGAGCAACAATGTCCAGTGTGTGTCCAGGTGAACTGAGAGAGCATCCACGTGGCTGACCCAAAATATGATGCGTGAGCAAAGCTGTACAAAGGAAGATCATAGACAGTGTAACTGGTAGGGCTGAGCTCATGCCCTGCAGGCACCTGGACTGGGTCTGGACCTATCTTCAGTTCTGACCTCCTGCCCGTATTAGGTTGGGGCCTGTTTCATCAGCTCAAGCTTGTAACTGCACCAGTTGTAGCTTTGTTAGCCTCATCCAAAACTCTTCTTGTTGCATCTTGACAACTTTCATGAAAATTGGAGCACCTTGAGGGCTTGGTGGAGAGCTTGTCTGTAGGGAATGCAGGACTTGGACTCCAAATTAGACATGGCCAGGGTTCCTAGTGCAGTTTGTGTCTGAGCAAATAATTGGCATCTACTTAAGAGTCTAATGAGTGAAACAGCCTTCCAGGCACAAATCCTCAAGATCACAAACATAGAAGTGCTTTTGCAGCATAGCTGTTAAACATGAAGAGCTGTTCCTCTGGCAGAGCAATTGCCACCCGGCTCAGGGTGTGAGGTGTCCTGGGGGAGAAGACCCTTCAGGAGCAGGCTGGGGAAGCCCAGGGCCATTGATCAATCTTGTCTCATCCCACACAGCAGCAGGAAAGCCCAGCCCATGCTGAAGGGTAGATGTGGGAGATCTAGTTCCTGTCCTGTCCCTGGCTACTATGTCCCCCTCAGTGAGCCAGGGCAGCTCTGGTGCTGTAACTGACTTGGCAGTTGGAAAAAAACTGGCAGTCCCCAGCTCAGTGGAGGTCCTCAAGCTCTGAAACCCAACTGAATGCTAACACCTGCTGCCAGATCTCACTGTGACCACCACCCCAGTTCTTCCATGCTTTGGGGTGCTAGCCTCAAAAGGGGGAGCAGAGCTGGGTTGCCAGTGACTCCTACACAGACACTGGCAATCCTCCATCCTCCCCTGCGCCAGTGGCTGCTCCATCTGTTCTGGCTGAGCTGACCCTCTCCAAAGGGCAGGAGAGCAGGAAAAGGGGCTGTGGGGGACCCTCAAGTTTGCAGATGCCAAGGAAGGCCATGGCTTCTGTTCACGGCCAGCTGGACCGCCCTCGTGGGAGGGTTGGGGGGCAGCCAGTGGCAGTGGGCTTGGAGGCCAGGAGTAGACTTGGGA